TGATGAAAGTAGTTGGAAAGGCTGTATTGCTCCAGGTATTCTGGTAACATACAATGTCAATGCCCCACCAAATGGCAAATTTTCTATTACTTTGAATGTCAGTGCTCCACTGCAGGTTAAAAGGATGAAGCTGCAATATGTGCAATGAATGCTTCTCATTGTTAGCACTGTGTTTTAAAAAGAAATTAGATTGTTCTGTGTGATGATGAGGAATTACATGGAAAGGCAGTATAGGGAAAGGCTGGTTTTCAGAGGAGGCCCTGCTCTTGGAACACCACTGAACCCACCATGCTCGGGCAGCCAACGGGACATGGGGTTCTGCTGATGTCCAAAGATGTGGTGTCACTTGCCCCAAGCCTCCTTTTGCACCTACTGTACTGTGCTGTTTCAGAACAAATGAAAAAAGAGCTTTTGTACAACATATGTTCAGTTCCTATAGCAAGCTATTTTTGCAGTTGGAAGGCCTCAGGCATTACTATCCTTTCAAGCCATACACAAACAAAAAGGGTTGGCCACAAAAAAGAGCCTCTGCTGATGAGTGTAAGGTTTACCTTTGCTCCCTCACTCAAGATCCTAATTTCATCAAGTTCTATAAAATTTCAATTGATTCAGTTTCACCTTATCATTGAATTCTTATTGCTGCCTGACCTAAGGTCAACTATACTTTCAAAATAATTAAAGAAAAAGATATAATGCAAACAACTGGTAAGTCTGAACCCTTGCTATCATTTCTGTTGTACACCAGAACACACTGGGTGTTTGTAGGTGCTCTGCTATAATCAGGGTAACAGCAGTCTAAACATGCATCTAACATGCAGTCTAAACAGCAGTCTAAACATGCATGTGCAGAAACCAGAGGTATAGACTTCAAGATCTAGGCTACACCATGTACACTGCTGGAGTAGAAGCCAAACACTTCTTTCTATAAACACAGGGATGCATGTCCTAGGAGAGACCTTGTTTCCAGCTGCTAAAAGTTTCCAGTCAGCTTCCTATCCTTTCTCTTGCTTTCCAGCCTGGCTGTAAGAAAATGTGTGATGGCATGGAGGGAGCTGCATCTCCTGCTGGCCCACATCTCTTGCCTTTTCTTTTACCTTACCCAGGACCAGGCTATGCCCATTTTCAGCAGGGACGTGGCTGCCACTCACACCTAAGTGTTTGCTGTTCTTGGAGTCCCAGCACACATGCAAATCTGGGTGCTAACATATCCAGCCACCTTTGAGGCAGGTATCCCTCAGGAAGACACCTGCCTGGCCCTCACACACCAAACAGGTTACTAGAACAAAAATGTTAATGCACATTGTTGGACATAATTCAATACATGATAAAAGAGGCATTAAACCCCAGTCTCCTTCCCCATAACTTTTAATCAACCTTCTTATCTCCTTTTATGAGGAACTTGTGAGGAAGTCTACATCAAAGGAAAACATACATTTTTATTTTGCTTCAGATGCCTTAACAATATTTATTAAAAACATTTATGGCCAAAATACCAAAAATCACCTGATGTTCAATTATAAAAATACCACAACTGCATTTGAAACTTTACCGTAACTACAGTCTAAAAGTGAAACTAAAAAAGTGAAAGTTCCTTGTTGTTTTATGATACATAGGCTGAAAGAAATGCAGAAAGTAAACAAAAAAGCACACAAAAACATACATTTATAAAAATGCTTCTTGAATTCTAAAATATATTTGTACCAGAGAGAAAGGTGGCAATTTATAAACTTTTGATAGGACAAAAACATGTGTGATCATACAAGTTGTTAGACACTGTTTTCACAGTATTCCTTGCAGATTCTGTGACAAACACTGAAAAAATAGGAACACATAGGTAGAGACTGCTGCTGAGGGTTTCCAAAGTCTAAGAGAAAGTATGCAACAATCTCCTGTACATTTGGAAAATCCTGGTGCTCAGGCTCACTGCTCTTCTCACAGCTGAACTTCCTTCACGATTGCTTTTCCATTGGGTTCTGCCTGGTTAACTGACGCTGGCAATGCTCAGCCCAAGCCATGCCAGCTGAACAGCAGATCGCAACAGGAAAACAGTGAGGAAGCACACAACATAGATTGGATTGACATCAACAGATTTGATGTTTAACCAGGATTCTTGAAACTTTCTTCACATGCTTTTAAACTTCATCTTGAGGCTTACATTTGTAGTGGAGGTGCAGGAAATCAAGTAATTCAACTTGTATTTACCATTTATATAATTACTTTTATTAAATTACCTATATAATTCGTGTAAGGAAAAAAAAACCCTCGAGAACATGCAGTTACACTGTTTACAATTACTCTGTCAGTTGATGCAATTACTATAAATAGGCTCAGAGACATCACTAATTAATAAAGTTGGAAGGGTAATGTAAGACGAACTCTGTACTTCACATTTAAGGCATATGATATCTAAGATGCAGAAGGGTGATTTTTCTTTTGGGCTTTGGCCCAAAGAATATATTATAAAGAACCCTCACACATCAAAGTCTCCCAGGCTACAGATGCTCAGGAAATGAAGCAAAATAGTAGAGTTGTGGCTTGTTTCTAGCTAAATTTTAAACATTAAGAATGAAGCAACTTTGGTGGAGTGCATGCACATACCTTACTGATTTTAGTGGGGTTTATATATGCAGAGTGAGTTGTGGAAGATTGATCTTTAAACCTGGAGCAGAGGTGTCATTTCCCTCTCTGTTTTGAACACAGTAAGATGTGTTTTATTTGCAATTTTATGTAATCTTATAAACCAAATGTAGTGGATTCTTTTTTCAATCTGGGATAAAAAAAAATGTGTTTCTTCAGAGTCACTGGAAAAGAAATGTAGCCTTGCAAAAAAAAGGCTGTCAAAAGAAAATTGTGCATATTAACAACTCTCTTGAGAGCAATAATAGACATTCTCTGCATTTATTCAGCAAATTTACATCCAAATCGGGAAGATGTTGGATTTATCTCAGTTAACACTGAAATATTTGCAAAAATCAATAAGGGAAAGTGTTTCCTGCTGAAGAAGGAAGAGATAACCTTGCACAGTTTTGTTTGTACCTCTCTGGGACACAGGAGGCAAAATGACCACACTGCTTCTGTGAAACATGCACTTTTCAGTCACAGAGCAGTAGCACATATCCTTAACAGTAGATCCAGTGAATTCTGTCACATCCTTACAGCTGCACTGATGACAGGCCCAGCTCTTGGCCTTCTGTGTATGTAAGCAATACCCAAGGTTGGAGCAGTACTCAGAAACTCTAAATAACTTTCGGTAAAAAGTTCAGGAACATTTTACACATACAAGATTTACATTCCCGTGGCTTATTATCAGTTTTGATTTTGCAACAGTAATATCCCAAACACCTGGCAACACTCTGGACACTAAGACATCTTTCTGTATTTTCTCTGGCCTTTTGATTTCCTTCATTGCCCAAATACGTATTTACTGGGGGGAAAAAACCCAAACTACAAAACAACTTAAAAATCCAATGGATATGAGTAGCCTTGTTCTCAGCTGATGCCAAAATGCATTTTATAGAAATAAGGGCTGAATTAGTCTTCAGTTTCCCAGACTAGTGTTAATCCCCCCTGCACACTTCCTCGCAGAGGAATGCTTTGCAGACACGGCACTGTACAGAGCCCCTTCACTCGGCACTCACGCTGGTCCCGGTGCAGCAGACCCATTGCACAGGTGTGCAGAGGCCGGTAGGCACGGCACCTCCTACCGGAGGCTCGGGCAGGGCAAAACAGGAACGACGCGCACCCTCCGGCTAATTTAGCCCGGGGTTGATCCCAAGAAGGGATGCGTGCGCTCGGGGAGACAGCCCCGGTACGTGTCCATCCCCGCACTGCCGAGCCGGTGTCCCGCGTCACGGGGAGCCCCCGGGAGCGGAGCGCCGCGGCGGGGCGGTGCGGGGCTGCCCGCGGGCTGTGCCCGGTGCCCGGTGCCCGGCCCCGGCTCGCAGCACACTGCGGCCCGCCGGCAGCGGCGCCGCGGGCTCGGGAGCGGCCCCGGGCCCCGCCCCGGCCCGGCCCGTCGGCAGCTCATTGATGAGCCGCGGGCCTTTGAGGAAAGGGCGAGTGCGCCGAAACCGCTGCAAAGCCATGATTTTTCAAGCAGCAGCGCAGCCTGGGAACTTTGCATGTTTCGCCATTTTTCACGTCCTGACTCATTTCTGTATCAAAAAACGTGTTCTCTGGAGCTCATCGGAGACCCGCCGCCCCTCCCGCCGCCGCGGCGCAGGCAGCATCCACGCCGGGCAGCAGCAAGGGGAACTATAGCAGAAATCCCCCGCGGCCAGGCAACCGCAGCCAAGCCCCGGGCAGCCCCGGGCAGCCCCGGGCCCCTCCGAGTTCCCTTTCTATCGCCAGCGGGGCTCGTTCGCCTCCAGGGCTGCAGCCCGCACGCCACGCAGGGAGCGGAGCAGGTGCACCCGCCAAGGCCCACCCTCCCCCCGTCGGCGGGAGGCACCTGCGGGGCCCGGGGGTGGTCGCGGGGTCTCGCCCTAGAGTTCTCGCCCCGCGGGAGACTCGCCTTCCCCACCCGCCGTGCCCGGGGGAGAGGGGCTGCCCCCGTCCCGACAGCTCCATGAGCAACAGCCCCGGGGGGCTGCGGCCGCGCCGTCGGGGGCGCGCGGGGCGGGAGCGGCGGCGGCGCTGGCGCGAGCGGCTCCCGCCGCTGCCGCGCGGGATGGGCGGGGCGCGAGGGCCCCGTGGGGCGCGCGGCCCCGGTCCGCCCGCCCCGCGCCCCGCCGCCGCGGCACGGGCCCGCCAGGCGCCTGCGCACTGCAGGGGCGCCAGATTTGGCGGGAGGGGGAGTGTCCAAGGGCCCTTTGTTTGATGGCATCTCTGTTTACAGAGTTTACTCTTTAATCTCAACCTGTTTCCTCCTCCTCCTCCCGCGGCTCCTCGGCACTCCCGTGCGCGGCGGCGGAGCGCCCAGGCGCAGCCCGGCAGCAGGGCGCGGCGGCGGGCGCGGGCTCGGTCTCCCCCGTCCTCCTCCCCCAGCGGCCGGTGCGAGGATGTCCCGGAGACCCCGGCACAGGTAACCCGCTGTCTGCGGGCGGCTGACGGCCGGCTGCGCTCCGCGCCTGTCACACGGGGCGCGGGACGGGAGAGGGGGAAAGCGGCAGCAGGCACCCGGCTCGCCCGGCGGACGGGCGGGCAGCCCCCCGTCCTCCGCGCACCTGGCGTACTCCGCCCCCGGTGCCGGGGCGCTCTCCTCCTCCGGAGGCGCCGGGGGAGCTGCAGCCCGGCGGGACGCGCCGCGGAGCCGCCGGTGCCGGGGCGCTCGGGCCCCGCGCTGCACGCCGGCGGGGGGCCGGTGCTCGCCGCCCGCGGGAGCCGGCGCCGAGCCCGAGGGAGCTGCGCGCCCCGCAGCCGCAAGGCGGGACAATGTCTGGCGGGCTCGGCGGCGGCAGGTAGCGCGTCCCGTCCCATTCATTCATTCATTCCCGGCCGGGTGAGGCGACAGGTGGGCGGCGGGTGCGGGGACTCGGTTCGCTCCCTCGACTTTTTGTTTCCTTTATTCGTGCGGCCCTTTCGCCCTTGGAAGCGCGACTCTGGCCTGCGTGGCTTAGTTTTTTCCCGGTACACGCCGCTCGGCACACGCCGGAGCGCGGCAGCGCGGGCGGGGGGCTGCGGCTCCGACGGAGCGCTCGGCCGGAGCTGTCACCGCGCCCGCCCGCCTGCCGCGCACCCGGGCCACGGCGATCCCTGCCTGCCACGCCGCGCCGGGGGCCGGGGCCGCGGTGCCCCGGAGGCGGCGGTGCCCCGGAGGCACCGGACCGGACGGGGCGGCAGCGCCGCGTGGCCGCGTTCGTGGCCCCGCTGCCGCGCGGGCGCACAGAGCGGGGTTGTTGTCTAATTAGCCGGGGACGGCGGGTCGGACACGTGGAGGCTTTTTTCTCTTTGCAGCCCGGCATCCTCCCCTCCTCCCTCCCCTTTGGCTGCCTGTGACAGGGGAGAAGGTCGCAGCGCTGCCTGTCGCTTCCCGGGAGCCCCGTCCGGAGGGACAGGGGTCTTGGTGGGCTCTTGCTAAGGAAGAGGGGCTTGCGGTGCGGGAGGAGGCGGTGAGAGCTGCTGGGCGAGCGCCGGGCTGTACTTTTGAGTGTCAGAGCGGGGCTGTCGCTAGAGCTGGCGGTGAATCACCCGGCCCGTGTCTCCCGAAAGAGAAGGACAGCTACCGCTGCCTCGCGGGCGCCTCCCGCCGGGACACGGCCGCGCTCGGGGCTGGAGGCCGGGGCCGCTCGGTGCCGGGTCCGCCTCATCCAGCGGGCGCCGGCGGGAGAAGGCGCGGGCTCTGCCCCGCGGGGCTGGTGCCCGAATTCCTTAAATCACGGTAACACCAGCGAGTCGTTTCCTCTACACCTCCTTTTTTTTTTTTACCTTTTTTTTTTACCTCTCCGTTTGGTTTTTTTTGCCTTTTCCCCCGTATATCGTTGCACAAGCCGGTTGCCTCGGCGAGCAGCGCAGCGCTGATGGGCGGCCGGGGGACTCCCGCTGTCCCGGCCGGGCGGAGCGCCGTGCCGTGCCGAGCCGCCTGGGGGGGACGCTTCAGGGCTGCGGCCGGAGGTGCAAAATAAAGTTTTAGAGCATTGCTGAGGGCCAAGTTGACTGAAGAAACTACCGAAGAAAGTCCCGGAATCCCCGGGCACTTTTCTCCTGCTGGAGAACGCAGGTAGTACAGTGAAGTTTGCTCGGTTCTGCGGTGCCAGCGAGGCCCCAGTCATTTAAATAACCCTGTTACAGAACTGGCCCCGCACTGAAGTCCTTAAGCGTGTTGGCCGCTGGTGCTGGGCTGCTGCTGCAGAGCGGCGTTTCCCTGCGGCGCAGGAAGCGCCGCCGATGGATGCGTAACCTGCTGCTTGTCGTCTACGGAAAACTCATTTTCAAAATGATACTTGGAAACTGTGCCACAAAACTTCCTTTGGCATATGGGCAGCGGCGCAGCTGTCTCTGTGTGTCACTGAGAAAAGTGAATCTGCTCTGAGCGGCGGCTGGGGACGGAGCCGCGCGTGTGGCAGCTGGAGCGTGGGAGCTTCTGCTCAAGCACGGGAGGCTCCAGCTGCCAGCGAGGAGTGCGTGCGGAGCGGGAGCTTCCATCGGGGCTTACTCCCAGTGCTTGTGGGGTCTGGGGAATAGGGAGTGAATGGCGGGGCTGCCGGACTGCGGCGCGGGGGGCGCGATGCGCTGGGTGGGTGAGTCAGGGGCACCCGGCAGAGGCTGCAGGATGGCCACACACACCGCAGCAGGCTGTGGAAAACTTTTTACATGCAGCATGTAAGCATGCTCTTTCATGGCACAGGCCAGAAAACAGGGTGGAAGATGTAGGGTGTGATTAGCCCAGTGCTTTTAAAGAATGTATGTTCAGCAGCTTGCCTTTCGGAGGTGTTCGCATCTTGACAAACAGTAACCGTGCCTCACTGCAACTTAATTGAAAGTAATCTCCTGAAAACTGGTTAACAGCATAAACAGCGCCTGTTAATTTTATTACAAAATAACTTTATTTTAATGTCTTAGTCATACTTTTAACATACCACAGCATGCCAGACCATCAGATATATCACAGTTTGAATCTTAATGACACTGACCCCTTTCTAACACTCGTGGCTTGCAGCTCTTAGCTGAAGTATCAGAACTGCTGCACATACCTTAGAAGTTAGAAGTAAGATACTGTCCGCCAGAAAGGCATGTCTTGTTGCAAAATGCTCTTTTAGATTTAGTTAGCTAGGTAGAGAAGGTGCTGTTTGTGAAAAGAGTCATGGAGTCCTTTTTACCCATAGATAGCCTCTGGGGAAATCCCTTAGTCATGAATTAGGTGAACAGAGTATTTCAAAAACAGTATGAGGGATTTAGAAATAGACTAGAGGTAATAAACTTATAGAAATGGAGACTACAGAAAGGCTCAGTCATTCATTTGTTGGTTGCAGGATTAAACAAACTTGTCCTCAGTCGTTATCTGTCCAAACCCATAAATGGAGGGCATATTTTGTATTAGAGCTTATTGCATGTTAATGCTGCCACTTACTGTCTTTACTTATTGTAAAACCTTGTGCCTTCTCATATAGGGCCCATAAACATTTTCTCAAACAAGGTTATTGTTTAGCTTTTTGTTTTGCTACACAGTCGGTTTTATTTTGGAGCAGTATAACAGTCTGCTGTATTAAACATACAAAAAGACTAATATTTTTCAGAATGTGTATGACATGAGTTAAAGATCTTAAGCATGTACTCGTGTACTGGACACAGCCTCTAGTTGTCTTTATTGTCCCAAACATTGTATTTTAATTTGAAACCTTCATTGGTTGAAAGTTTGCCAAATGTGTAATTCACCACTGATCTAACATTAGGAGCAGGTCTAAACATGCACAGTAACACGAAGGTTGCCAGCCCTTTCCCTGTATCTGTGGATACCAAAAACAGCAGAACCAGTTCAGAGTACTAGAACAACAGAATGCAGAACAAAATCTTGTTGTGCAAGTTTTAAAACTTTTATCTGTGTAACCTTTGTAAGGATTGTAGTGGGGGGGGGGGGTTGTGTTTTATAATTAAGTAGCTCAAGTCCTCATGCTCCACTCTGTCTCGCTGTGTTTCCTTTTGCAGTATATATAGTAGTGATGATGATGAAGAAGATGTTGAGGTCTATGATCACGACTATGATGGTCTGCTTCCCAAGACTGGAAAACGCCACTTAGGAAAAACCAGGTGGACCCGCGAGGAGGTAAATCCAAGTTCATTCCTCTCCTGCGCGTAAAAAGATAAGAGAGAGCATGGATCACATTCTTCTTCAAATTGCTTCATGTTCTTCACCATATTGTTAATCTACAAACTTACTTCAGTGACAGTCCCATATCTGAGGACAACTTTTTTGACCCACTAGCTATATTCAGTGTTTTATTTAACTTTGAGCATAGTTCTTACCTATAAACACAACTTTTTAATTTCCACCATGCTCTGTATTAAAGTATGTGATGTGTGAATCTCTGTGCAATCCCTGTTGCGGGTTCCAAAGCACATTCCAAATCACCTGTAGCAGTGCCTCATTGTTGCTACTTTCCTCTTTCTGTTTGGAAACTGTTGCTATGCCAAAACCCGCGTGTGTGCAGTGTCCCGCGGCAGCAAACCACTGTGGCAAAAACTGCTGCAGACCTTCTGTACCACTGGAATTTTGCACTTTAATTGCACTGTTATGATTCCAAGTGGAACTAAAGTAAAAGCTGGAGGGGACAGAAATCCAGCAGTACCAAAACTGAGCGTTCAGGACGTATTTTGCTTTTCGAGGTCAGAATTAGTTGTGATACCCTTGTGCTGACTTTCTGGGGAAATTGTGGTATCAAACTCCTCTGCCAGATGGATCTCCTTTGGCTATTTAACTGGTTTGAGTTTGTTGTGGAATACATTAATACAGTTCTTGAGTTGTGGTTTGACTTTCTCTTCTCTTCTCTTCTCTTCTCTTCTCTTCTCTTCTCTTCTCTAACAATGTGTATTGATGTAAAAACAGTGGCAGGTCACCCCTTGCAAGCTTTTATTTATTTATTTTAAATCATAGTCTGCCCTTGCAAAGGTGGATGTGGTTGTGATGTGGCCAGGGAGGAAAGGATGGCCATGAGGTCCAAAGACCATTGTCCTGTTGCATGAACTGGAAGCATACTGGGAGGTGCTAACTGGGGAAGGAGAGGGCTACTCTTCTCCTCTTATCTCCTGGGGCATTTCTGGTTGGTTTTACTCTATCTTGGTCTTTCCCAGTACATAAGATTGGTTTCTTTTGTCTTTAGGGTCTATATTTCTGGCCTTACCATTAAAAAGATTGGGCCAAATTTTTTGCTATTTACAGGTATGCAAAACTCCCTCACAGAGAGCAGGAGCAAAAAGGAGCTGTTAGTTTTATTGTGCATTTATTGTAAGTGGATAGGCCACGAGCAAATCTGTGGAACTCCCATTACTTGCAAGACATGTAAAGCTTAAGGCTGTGATTTTCAGAGGTGCCCAGGTAGCTGAGTGCCCGAGTGTTACTGAATTTCAAGGTTATTCTGATGCTTGGCATCTAATCACCCATTTCGTCCTGTAAATCCAGTCCAAGAATAATAGCTACAGTGCTTTGATGAGTAAAATGGGAATGTATATTGTGAGTCAAAGAATTGCACAGAAGTCAGTATTTCTCCTGCAGCACAGTAAAGAACCTACTAAACTCCAAAGGAGTAGAAAAATCTTATGCTCTAGGAATTAAAAGCATGCAAAGACTACAGACCACCCTCCCTTACACTCAGAAAGCAGAAGTAGATGCATAAGAAGCTACAAGAATGAATTTTAAAAAATATTTCATTTGGATAATAAGAGATTGCAGTATTAATTATCTCTGGGGGGGTTTATGATTCAGGATGAGAAGCTGAAGAAGCTTGTGGAGCAGAATGGCACAGAAGACTGGAAAGTCATAGCCAATTTCCTTCCTGTAAGTGGATATTGGTTTCTGTTTCCAGGCTTAGTAGCAATTCTTTATCAAGGGGTTTCCTTAATAAAGGGGAAGGGGAGTGGTTGCTTTATAGTTACATTTTCAGGGGAGATATAAACCTTCCACAAATTGAGATCTTAGAAATGCAGTTAGATTACTGTGGAAACCTCTGCATTTATTTTTCCTTTCACTTCTCAGAAAGGGTTGGAAAAAAAACAAGCAAAAATGGGGGGATGGTGGGGACTTGCACAGGAGATGGTCAATGAAATAAAATGTCTCAGCACAGCTAAAAAAAAACTTTGGTGAATTTTAAGTATTATTTTGAAGAAAATTTCTTTGTGTTTGGCTGTTGCTGAAATACTGCATATGAAAGCATGCCAGCTATTGTGCAGATGGGGAAGATAAAATTTGTGTAGTTTTGGTGATGGAGTCCTCAGTGCAGAAGTGATGGAAACCTTATCTATTCTGTGAGCAAATTGATAGCTGACCACCTTCTTCTCAGACTTACTGTATCACCCTGTGATGTTTAGTAGTCTTAGTTGGTAGTGAAATACATCAAAACAACTGTATATGAATAAGAGCATTCTCTCTCTAAATCATCTTTATTCTAAAGAATTATCCACTTTGTGTATTTCACATTTCTCTAGAATCGGACAGATGTTCAGTGCCAGCACCGATGGCAGAAGGTACTAAACCCAGAACTTATCAAAGGTCCCTGGACTAAAGAGGAGGATCAAAGGGTAGGTAATCAGTTTTTCCTTCTGTCTGATTAATGCCTTACGAGCAGATTTCAAGTGTTGGGGCAAAACTACTGGAAACTTTGGTGGTCTCAACATTATTGTGGCCAGAGGCAGATTGTATTTGTGTAGTGCTTTCTAAGTTTGCTATGAAAATAAATTACTGTTGCTTTACAGCACTGTAATGGGGAGTTGCAGTCTAGAAATGCCTTAACTATTACCAGATTTTTCCTTTCGGGTAAAAATATGAATGGGAAGTGGGGAACCTTAGTTGCTATTAGTTTTACTTTGGCAGTTTTGAGAAATGTTGTCGAAAATATTGCTTCACCACAGAAAAAAATGTCATTGATTCATCATGCATCATTAAATACAGGCAGTTTTTATGTCCTTCTTTGAAGGTAATAGAGCTCGTGCAGAAATACGGTCCAAAGCGCTGGTCTGTCATTGCTAAGCATTTGAAGGGAAGGATTGGAAAACAGTGCAGGGAGAGGTGGCACAACCATTTGAATCCAGAAGTGAAGAAAACCTCCTGGACAGAAGAGGAAGATAGAATTATTTACCAGGCACACAAGAGGCTGGGAAACAGATGGGCAGAGATTGCAAAGTTGCTGCCTGGACGGTAATGACATATGCTTTTAGCTCTTAAAAAAGGAAAAAGCTGCAGGTCTGAGCAGTCTGGTTTGGTTGCCGCAGGCTGCACTGTATAAATCGAAAAAAAATTTGGAATCAAAACCTGGGAAGCCAGTGACACACCAATGTGCTTTTCTCTCAGTGGGGAACTTCACTGGTTGGTCAGTACACGCAGCAGTGTGCTATTTTTTCAGGCTTTTAATGTTTGCCACAGGTAAAAAAGCCAGTAATGGAGCAAGAGCATAAGAGTTTCCTAAATGTCTGTGCAGTCTTATTTGTGCCTGCGATGACTGTCAAAATTTAAATCAATTTAACAGGGAAGGATCAGGGCCTGCAAATGGAACATAATTTACATTCAGCTAAGGGTATGCCTTCAACATGAAATCCAGTCTGTTTATTCAAAATGATTTAAGAAAGTCTTCTTCAACTTTTGTAATTGCTCTTGAATCATCCAGATGATTTTGACCTGTTAAAAAATCATATGTAAAGTAGGAGAAACTTTTTCCTCAAACTCTGGTCCTGGAAATACTTGTCTCACTGAAAGCTTTTGTATAGCTTGTATATGAACTCAAAGATTCAGTGTCTTGCTTGATTAAAAGTGACTCAAAATGTGGGCAAGCAAATAATGTAAGCAAAGGAGAGGTTTCTCTTCCTTCTTTTCTTCCTGCTATTTGATAAAACATCTTCAAAACCTAAATATAAGTCCTAAGATCATGATAGCCCTTTCAGCAATCATTCCCTGGGCTGCCTTCACCTTCTAGAAGATGAAAGAAATTAGCCCTTGGAAATATTTTTTGGCTTTCACACATCACAGATACTACTTTGAATGATAACATGCAGTGGTGATGTTTTTCAAATAGCAGAGCTGTTTTAAAATGTACTCTTAAAAATCTCACAAAGTTGGTAAGTTTACTTTTCCTGACATATATATGTGAGGATTTCAATCTCAGTTTTTCTGCATGTAAGAAAAATCCCAGCAGTTTTGTTTACTGAGTTTGTATGTACAGCATGTTGTTGTTGCTGTCTAGGTGACCAGCTGGAAAATTGCTCGGAAGTTAGTCTGTTCACAGCTGTTCTCCAGTCTTTCTTTCCAGCAATGACACAATAAGACTCCACTGAAATATTAAGAGATAAGAAGATGATGTTGGCATTCCTTTAGGATAGCCTCAAAGGGAAGTTAGCCTTTGTTGTCTCCTCACTTCATGGGCATGAGGTGAAGATGAAATTAGTAATTTCTTACTATTTGAGGATGTAAGTCACGAGAGATTGCTTTAAAAAAGTATGTAAACAACCGTAGCCCGTTTTTCTTTTTCCCTAACCTTTATACTGAGCATCTTTCCTGAGAAGTTGGGAGTAGCATCTGTAGTGGTGGGGGTAGGAGGAAGGTCAGAAAAGAGCTCAGGGTTTAAACAGAAATGCTAACAGCAGTTCCTTGCCCACTGACCTGTCTGAATTGGAAATGCTCGTATTTGAAACTCCTCGAGCGCCTGCATTTCTGTTGCAGAACTGATAATGCTATCAAGAACCACTGGAACTCCACCATGCGCCGGAAGGTCGAGCAGGAGGGCTACCTGCAGGAGTCCTCCAAAGCCTGCCACTCCTCAGCAGCTGCTGGCTTTCAGAAGAACAACCACCTGATGGCCTTTGCTCACAGCGCATCGCCGCCCGCGCAGCTGGCAGTGGCCAGCCAGCCCCCGCTGGGCAGTGACTACCCCTACTACCACCTGCCCGAGCCTCAGAACGTGAGTGCCTGCCCATGGCTGTGGGGAGGGGGTGCTGCTTCTGCCTCCTTGGACACATGGGCGCAGCTTAGCCAGGCCTGGCTTCAGCTCGAAGGGTTTTCTTCGTCTTGGTGGACTTGGATGTGTTTGGTGTCAGATGAAGAGTTCTTTGACTTTGTGAAAATAAGTACATTGCAAACTGGTGGCATTCGGGTGGTGGAACTGGGTACAGCAGGTTTAATGCCTTGGGAGCAGTTGACATATTTCTTAGAGCTGGGAGTATTAAATTTCTTGAATATCAGTTGAATCTGGTTAATTCTGTGTTCCATGTCAAAATCTCCCACATTCTCTTTAGTAGTATTCTGTTTGTGGGTTGCCTGTCAGAACCAAGTGAACAAGTATTGTTTTTAATCATATTTGTTTTCTATTAATGATTAATAATGAAACAGGCTCCTGCTTCAGACAGTTGCATTGTAGAGTTTTAGATGATAATAAATTGCATCTTTTGCTTTTTCACTTCAATTTACAAAATCCTTACAACTGTGTCTATAAATTATTCATCTTTTCTCATTCAGGAAGGGTAAATATTTAATATATGAATTTTCTTTCTTCCTCTCTAATGCTTGCAGTCATATTCCTAAAAACGTGATTACTTTTCTTGTAAACATTTTTATTTTTTTGTTATTTCATCTCAACAGACTACAAATATTAAGTACCTAACACCAAAGTATGTTTAACACAAATTGGCAATGCAAGCAGATAATATGATGGAAATAATAAATTTTTGCTTTTTGACCCAGGTTCCTGGTCAGATCCCGTATCCAGTAGCACTGCATGTAAATATTGTCAATGTACCTCAGCCAGCTGCTGCAGCTATCCAGGTAGATAACTTGAACCTCATTTCAAGAGTCAATTTCTTAAATGTTTGATAAACTAAAATGCAGACATTGTGCATTAAGGAAACATTTTAATGTATTAAGTGTGGTGAAAAGAGAAAATGGAGAAGGTCAGGGAGTTCTAACATGGCTAATAATTGCTCCTTCTGAAGTGGATTTTAAATGCAGTAGTTGACATCTGGTGTGATGGCCTTGGCTTTCTCCATTTCAAATGTCTATACTGAAATTCAGCAGAGACTTTGGTGGTGGAAAACACAATTGACATTTGTTTCATCTTGGAATCTGATTTGGCTGTTATAACCACAGGTTGGCAAACCATGAGCATTTTAGTTGCTACATCCTATCAGACCTTTATCTTTTCTTTTCCCTTAACTCTTAATTTCAGAGACACTATAATGATGAAGATCCTGAGAAAGAAAAGCGAATAAAGGAATTAGAGTTGCTACTAATGTCGACTGAGAATGAACTGAAAGGGCAGCAGGCATTACCAGTAAGATTGTCACTGTGTGCTTGGATGGAGGGATAGCAGCCTTACCCCAGTGCTTGTCTTTTTAACTTTTTACTCCCCCTCTGCCTTCAGTACTAATCAAGGCTCTATATTTCCGTTTTAAAAGGATGAAACATAGCACATATGTAATCTGTATCTGCTTCGTAAATTCTTTTGCTAAAAAAAATCAAAAAATTTTGCAGGTATCTTACTTTGCAAAGTGGGAGCAGGATTGGGCTCCGTAACATGATGTAATATTGGAAACGTGATGATTGCACAAAAATTGAAAATCCTACAGACCTTTAAAAATTGAAAATCTTACAGACCTTTAAACAATAACGGGATCTGTGCTTCTGAAAGTGTGCAATGGTTCATGTGATGAAAATGTAGTGCCTGTGCATTAGATTTTTCTTCTCTGTTGTATTCTTTCCTTCAGCTGTGTTTTATATACTTCGTAAGCTTCAGACTTGGTGCATGTTTGATAATTTGTTTTACTCCTCTGAATAATGTTAGATTCTTCATAACTGCATGTGTGGAGCAAGTGCTGGCTATTACTGAATTCTCATACTTGGTTGTACATGCCATTGGATGTTAATGCGTGAAAGCTCTTGTGTAACTACTTAACACCATTGCCAAAGCCAAGAGTCCCAAAATCATTTTTGAAGATAGGTGATAGCCAGCAGAATCTTTTTTTTTTTTGGGCAATATTTAAATTATTAGTAAAAGAACTGCATGCATGATACGCTAGTTTGGCCACTTTTTAACTTTAGTTGATGTTTTGCAATTTCTTCTGTTGCATGATCACACTGGAAAGAAACTTCTGTTAATTTGTTCTTCTGCTTTCCTAACCACGTTGATTTGACAGCCTCTTCATTGCATTGGTGTAAGCTGTAGCATTAGACAGGGATAGCAGAAGAAAAGGAGATAAGCAGACAAAAGCAACTCTAACTCTAAAAACTTTTAGCCTCCTACAGTGCTGAGCACTCCGTAGGGAAATCCTACCATTTCTTGCTTCTTACAGAAAAGGACTTGCAGACACTTTTTGAGCACTTGGAGTAACAAAGAATGAATTGATTATGTGCTAGTAATGACATATGCCTATAATCCTGGAAGTAAATTGTGAGGTAACTTTGGGATAACAAATACAATGCCAGTATTACTTAAAACAAGATCTTGCACTGATGAAAGGAAACATCTTGACAATTGTTTCATAGGCATAAGCTTTTAGATGATGATGCAACTACTTTTATCTTTCCTCCAGTGGCATCTGACACCTTGTGCAATTTCATTGCTAAGTTCCTTCTGCCTTTCCCCCCTCCCTTTTCTTCTTTTTTTTTTTTTTTGCCTTTTTCTTCCTTTAGACACAGAACCACACATCAAACTACCCCGGCTGGCACAGCACCACAATTGCTGACAGTACCAGGACCAGTGGTGACAGTGCACCTGTTTCCTGTTTGGGGGAGCATCACCACTGCACTCCATCTCCACCGGTGGATCACGGTTGCTTACCTGAGGAAAGTGCATCCCCTGCCCGGTGCATGATTGTTCACCAGAGCAACATCCTGGACAATGTTAAGAATCTCTTAGAATTTGCTGAAACACTCCAGTTAATAGACTCCGTAAGTAGACTCGCCGCCTCAGGTGGATTTGTGCATGGTCAAGGAGGAAGGGGTGAGGAGCTGGGATTGTCCTAAATGTGATTGTTGATTTTTTCCCGAGTAACTTCAAGTTGCTTAAGGATCTGAAGCTTATCTTCTGACATGACAAAATGCAGCTGCTTGTAAATGAAGCCCTCAAGCATGGATGCGTAGCTTTTTTGGGGTGTCTCCCTTTCCTGCTACATCTTGGAAATGGGAGTGTGAGTTTCAGCAAGGTGCACAGTAGGAGCTTGAAACAATCTCTCAATTTTAAGTCTCCTTAAAATACAATCAGAGATACCATGAAAAATTTTAAACAATGCGATCATATTTACTGATCTTTGAAGTGACACATGCCATAGGTTTGGGTGTGGCCGCTCATGTAGCTGCATCATCCTCTAGAATTTTTAGTTACAGCCTCAATAGCTGCTTTTCAGAGTTTAAGGGACTTGTCCTGGCATATGTGAAGGACTGTAAGCACACATTTAAATGCCAAGTATCTGACTGACATTGACATGGACCTGTTGTCATTGTAGTCTCTGGGATGCTACATGTAAAGTAGCACATTGAATTACGTTTGTTGGTGGCAATCTCCTTCAGAAGCAGAGGTGTCTGCTTCATTCGGTATCATTTCCCTTTCAGCACATCCAGAGCAGCATTGCATGTTAGGAGGAGGCCAGCCTTGGTCTACAGCACACATTTTTTTGTAACAAAAGTCACCATCATCATAGCAAGCAGAAAACACTGTGCAAGCAAATAGTAAGGACATAATTTGACTAATTTGTTAGGGACTCTGTTGCCAGCAACACTACTAGGATGTCAGACAGTTTGATAAGATCAAGGTATGTATTGAAAACACAAATTGTGTTCACAGTGTTGCTGCTCCCATGAGCAGGGTCAGGCTGAATTGAACTGGGGAAGACTTTGTTGTTGTTGTTGGTTACAAACATATCCTAGCGCTGTATTTTCATGAGGTGGCACTATGCACTGTCTTATAGCTCCGTGCCTCCCACGTTGTTTCAGGATCCTTCTTCATGGGGTGATCTCAGCACTTTTGAATTCTTTGAAGACACAGACACTCCGGCTAGCAGAGCTCCCCCAGGCAAAGCTGCGCAGCTTCAGCAGAGAGGGGCCAGTGCTTGCAGACCGCAAGGACAGCCCACCACAAATTTGAGCAAAGTCATGTTGAGTCAGGGCTCTCTTGGCTCACCAAAGACCTTATCTGCCTCCCAGGGCAGCGCGGCTCCGTGGCTCCTTCTTCGCAAAAGGAGAGGGCACTGCGGCCCCTCAACCAATGGCCATGGTAGCGCCTTGGTCCGAGCTGACGCCAGCAGCTCAACTCCTCCTAAGCGCTCCCCTGTCAAAAGCCTGCCCTTCTCTCCCTCGCAGGTAGATCAAGACTTCTGCACAGATGTTACTAATTCTCAAAAGTCACCCCAGTCTTAACAATTTAGAAACTAATCCTTTGGAACAAATGACTAATTACCGTTGTGCTTGTTGATTTCACTCCGTGTTTGAATCTTCTCACTGCTCCTAGTCTTCACTGCTGAGTTTAGTTAATCAGCAAGCTAACTGTTGATTTTTGACTTTTAAATTCAGCTGTGGGGCATGGTTTTTTTTGTTTTGGTTTTTTGCCTTTTTGAATCTTTTTTGTAGGGGAGTGTGACCCCTTGCTTTACTCTTGCTGCTAACTCCAGCTACTAGAGTTTAACATTTCTGATCATCTGTGATACTTTCCATCTCTGTCCACTCACAGTATGATTCATTGATCTAGAAAACCCCAAACTACATTTAAATAGCATTCAGGTTGTGAGACAAACTGATAACAACCAGAAAATTCAAATCACACTTGCCATCCTCTGCCCAGGCCATGAGAGTTGGAATAGGAATGAGGAGGAAAATGGCCTGTTAAAATGGCCTGGTTCAAATTCCCAATGATGGTTGCTTTGTTTCACAGCTGTAGCACTATTTAAAAGTGTTTTGGATTTTTTGTTTGTGTGTGTTGGTTTGCTTTAGTCTTTGATGTCAAAGAAACACTATTTCATGAAGGAAAAGATTTCATGTAATGATTTCTTGCTGTATTTCCCATTACCTATTAGCTATTTTAATCATATGTCATTTTTCCAGTGAACGCCAGATTTTCTTACATGCCGCATTTTTATAAAGTGACAGAATCTAGAAGGGAATACATTGAATTGTTGTCAGAATAAAGGATACCACTATGCTCACAGATTTGTAGACTAGAAATAGAAACAATATTTTAGGTTACTAGGTAGAACACATGTAAGAGCAATTTTCTCCAAACAAATAGTGCTACCTCTTTTTCAGTCAGCTGTTTCCATTCCAAAGTATTCCACGCATCCGTCACAGGTGGCAGCTTTCATTTTATACTCTGAAAATGAAGTACTTTCTTTTGAGAGAGATTATAGGAAATGTATTTTCCTGTCATCAACACTTTCACTGCCCTAAAAGCTCCTAGATGCCCCATATAAATATTTGTGGAATTTAACTCTGTTTCCTGTGGGTTTGTTTTTGAAACATCCCTTGCTCAAATTCACCCAATTTCTTGGGCACACTGGTCTTAATTAAAATTTACTTGGAGAAAATCCAAATCAGGCTCTGAAAGTGGTGGAAAGTTTTTCTCATTGGAACTGAGTGTCACTTCCTTTAGAATTTCCCTCTCAAGCTTCCTGAGCCAAACCATTGAGTATTTTTTCACAATGTAGTCAGGTAACCCACACACCCCTACTCGTATCGTAGGGTCAGGAAAGTGACTTGTGTCAATCACAAGAAAATAATTTATTTTTCTTTTGTTGAATAACATCAGCTTAAGAGGTCAGCCATGTAATCTGGATGTTCCTGTTAATTTTTTCTTTCTTCAACTCGTGCAGTTCCTAAACACCTCATCCACTCACGAAAACTTGAACCTGGAGAACCCTGCACTTACCTCCACGCCGGTGTGTGGCCATAAGATGGCAGTTACCTCCCCGTTCCACAGGGACCAGGCTTTCAAAGCTCAGAAGGAAAACCATGTGTAAGTCTCTTGTCTTACTGAACTCACGAGGGTCCACGTCTTCACATCTGCATGCAACCAACGTGCTGGGTCAGCTTTGTATGCTTTGGCCTGTAAGAGGGTGGGTTTAGGTTAGATACAGGGAAAGAGTTCTTCACTGAGAGGGTGGTGAGGCATTGGAGCAGGCTGGCCAGAAAAGCGAATGACCTATCCATGGATGAAACCCTGGATAACTTGATCTCATGGAAAGTGTGCCTGCCTGTGGCAGGGTGTTTGGAACTAGCTGATCTTTAAGGACTATTATAACCTAAACCATTCTATGATTCTCTGCTTCCTGCAGGGTTGTTTGCTCACACATTCAGATTTTTCTTAGTTGGGAGTAAAAGTTCAGTTTTATTAATATTGATGTATGTTATTAAGCCATGCATATACATTCACCAGTTTTTAAAATAAAGCCATTACACCTTATTACGGTCCAAGACATGTTCTGCTGTAAAAGCAAAAGGGATTACAGGATGATAGGGAAATATTTTCCAAAGTCTTACAACAATACTGCCTGTATGCATGCATTTCTGTAAAGAGCTAGTATTTCCAAGCATCTTCCTTTAAAGTTCCTCTCCTTCTTTTTAAAGTTTCAGGACTCCAGCAATCAAGAGGTCGATATTAGAAAGCTCTCCAAGAACACCCACTCCATTCAAAAACGCACTTGCAGCTCAGGAAATCAAATACGGTCCTTTGAAGATGCTGGTAAGAAGGAAACAATGATAAAAGTTGCTTTGATATTAGTGCAGAGGGATGTTCTGGGACTTGGATATAACGTTTCTTTCTTTCTTTCAGCCTCAAACTCCAACTCATCTTGTGGAAGATCTGCAGGATGTTATCAAGCAGGAGTCGGAGGAATCTGCAATAGTGGCTGGGCTACATGAAAGTGGACCCCCTTTGCTGAAGAAAATCAAACAAGAGGTAAATCTCAAACTTACCTGAGGCAATTTAATTCAGAACTCTTTGCTGAGAAACTTATAGCAATGCCTTTTCTATTAAATAGCTGTGTCTGTTTTTCTTTCATGTGAGCCCCAAGATCTTAGTGTCGGTTCCATATAGTACACTAGGCATGTCTAATTCATCTCCCATTGATTTCCATAGAAGTCTTTCTGCTGCTTTCAGCAGGGGTTTGCTTGGGCTGTTCTAATGCAGTTTTCGTTTGAAACTTAAAAAGAAAAGAAAAATTAGACATGAATTTGGATTGAATCTTTCAAATATTGGTGAAAAGTATAGAAGAACCCCATGGGGACCAAGCTCCATGGAGTGACTTAGAAACCTGAACATTTGAGGACATTGCATTATATTACTTTGTCACTAAAGTTCTAAAAATACATTTATTCTCAAACCTTTCTAGGGGATTAAACTCCTGAATACTGACAGAGCACTGAGTGCAAGTATTCAAAGTTTTTTTAGATGGGGAGTTTTTTGGAGAACCTTGAACTTTTTTCTTCTGCAAAGAGCAAGGCTGCTGTTAGAGATGTTACTGTAAACATGCATTATGCACCTCTGTGAAGAATATTTGTTCAATTTGTTAAGCAACTGACAGAAATCTCCTGGTCAGTTATGTGGTGATTGAATCATGCCTTTTCTGCTTTCAGGTGGAGTCGCCAACAGATAAAGCTGGAAATTTTTTTTGTTCAAATCACTGGGAAGGAGAAAACCTGAACACTCAGCTCTTTACACCTGGGTCTGCTATGGAAGATGTGCCAGTAAGTTTTCACACTATCAAAGGAATTCTTTGTTTCACATCCCTATTCAATTCTTAAATGCAATTGAAAGAGAATATTTTTTCTTCACAAGAAGGTTTTATTCCTTATTTCTGTGTCATTTTCCTGTACTAAGCATAAAAAGCAAAATGCTACTCTTAATTATCACTCTGATGCCTATAGAAGGTTTCAGAAGTTGCAGTCATTTTGCAGCCCACAGACTTTGGAGAGCATGCACTTGGAGGATGTCTGCACCTGTGTGCAGAAATTACTGACTAGATAATGGAGTTAAAAACTGGTGAAAGAGAGAGGGATAATCTCTCTTGGTTTTTGCGAAGGAGACCTTGCATGAGCACAGTTCCCTTTCCATTGCCAGGGCTTATGGACTATTCAGTGTTACTCTTACTCTTGAACTTGGATTTTCACTGGATGGAAGACCTTTGCACAGGGCAATGCTCCTGCAAAGCCAAGTCCCAAGGACACCAGGCTGAGGTCTGCTCCTCATCTGAGCCCAGTGTAGCAAATTCTGTACTCAGCCTGAGTTTGCTTACAATACATTCCAATTCAGGTTGTTCTCATAAGTTGCTGAAAACCTTTTTTCTTTTTCTGTTCAGAATCTTCTTACCAGTTCCATTTTAAAGATGCCTGTGTCTGAAGATGATGATAGTTTTCACAAAACAGTTGCAGTACCTAGAAACAGGCCACTAGCTAGTCCTCTACAGGTAATTATTCTTTGATAAAAATATATAAAAATACATATATGAATCCATATATATATATAATATTATATTGCTTTCTCACAGGCTGATTTTAAGTTTTGGGTATGGTAGAATGAAGTGTTCAGATGAATGTGGCTGAGGGTCTCCCTTTGCCTGTGGAGCAGGAGGGCACAGTGGCTGCTGTTGTAACTCAGCTGGGTGCAGTGTGGAATTGGTAGGACTGAGAATTAACATGGACCAAAGGGTTTTGTTTTTTTCTATGGGCTTCTTGTAGGTGGCACTGCTGTTTTGGAGATTTGAGTAGCGTGGTGTGGTGGCCAGAGCTTGTGACTGGCCTTGGGGTGAGAGGAGAGGTTCCAGCGCTGCCTGGCTGGCACAGGTGTGGCCAGTGCTGCCCATTCAGCCCAGCACCAGGATGGCCTTTCCCCAGTGAGGACTAAATGTGTAATTGTTGTAATGTCAGTCACATGTGAGGCTGGGGTTTGTGTGTCTGTGCTTTTGCCAAGTGTTACCAAACACAGACATTTACTGTACTTTAAAACAGAGCTGCTGCACAGCGGCTGATCCAAAGCCCACCAAAGTCATTAGCAGCCAGTTTGGCAGCTCTTGTGTACTTTAGGTGAAACCCACAGCAAGTCATTCAGAAAACAAAACATAATTTCTGTATTTCCAAGATAGATGACTAAGTAATTTTGTAGCCCATCTCCACATGGAAGAAATAAAGGAAAGCGTCTCATTCCCCAGGGTGAGTCACTGTCAGGAAGGAAATTGTAACTCCATAGCTCCTGACTTTCAGACAGATAGTCCACGTGGTTAATCCCTTCTTTCCTCCCTCTTTCCAGAATTTACATTAGGGCTTATTTACAGTAGGAAGGAATGAGTAAAGGCTGGTTTTGATTAGGCATTTCTAGCCAGGCGTTAAAAAAGGAGATAGTAAAATTTTACACGTCCCCATTTGGCACAGTTTGCCATGAAGTAGGCTTGTATTTTGTGCTGCAGAATCATTTGATGAGAAACAGCTTTGGAGAGCAGGGACTAGGACTCCCCTTGGCATGGGGGCATCTGTAGGGGCCAAAGACTCACTCTCAATATTGTTTATCTGCTCTTCCCTCATGAGCTGTCTTTCTTGGCTGCACTGTGGTAGACAGCCAAGAGAAGGGTTTGCAGGTCCACTGCCCCTGATCTAGGGCAGTATATAGGGGCTGAATTCAGATCTACCTCGTGGCAAAGGAGCCTGGGTCTCCAGCTTTGCTGGAGCTCCCTGGTGGGTGTGTGGGAGAAGGCTGCTGGTCCCCAAGAGCTCAGCCCTGCTGAGCCAAACTCTGGCTCCTTCACTGATTTAGGACAAGATTTTCAGGTAGCTAACAGCATGGACTGTATGTTGTCCTGTTAGTGGTAGTTGCCTGCACTCTGGCTGTAATAAAAGAGACGGATCTGAGAGGTCTGTAAAAAAATAGGATCTTTTGATCTTTGGTGTACCGGTGTTATGTTTCCTGCTATCTAAAAATATTTTCTTTACAAGCTGCTATAAACGAAAGGGCTTGTTTAACCTTCTGTCCTCACTCATGCTGATTTTGTTCAGGAAGTTTACATGAGTCAATTTGTGGATCATTCTGGATTCAATTCTTCAGTCCTTGCTCAGGAAAACCATGTTAAAAGTCAGGTATGCTCATTGTTTGGATAAAGAGGACCTTTTCTTAAGTAGGAACTGAGTTAAAAAGGACTTCCCAACTCCTCTCAGTGTTTAAAGTGTGTTGAACTGAAAGAAAAAGTAGTTGTAAAAAGCCCCAAAATGAATAGTTAGTAGGCAGCTTCTTGGTTTACTTGTATGAAGGTAAAATTGTTCTCTCTGCTGGTGGAACATTGAGCTTTTCAGCTGAAATGTAATCTTAAATGAAGAATGAGGCTTGGGGTTTCTGTGATGGTGGCACAGACAGCTTTTTCAGAATGAAATGCAGACTTTTTCTAACAATGCAGTATTGTCTGCCAATGGCTGCACTCTCTGGTTGGGACTTGGTGTGGTGGTGGTTAAAAGGAATGGTAAAGCTGCTTGGCTTCATGTCAGAGGGGAGCAGTGTGGCTGTGTGCAGCTCCGAAGGGATGTGTAGTCTGGCTCTGCTTCACACCAGAAACTACTGCTTCCCTGTCCCTGATGCTTCCCCTCCTCCACCCCAGTGTAAATGGGCTCATGTTCCTTGGGCATGGCATGTCTAAAGGGTGCAAAGCCATGGAAAAAGTTTGCCTTTGTGCTTGTTGTTGTTTTTACTGTTTGCTTTCTGTCCATGACCAGAGTTTTTCACATTATTGTCCTATGCTTTCTGCCCTTCCTGGTTTAGATTTTGGTGTCTCATCCTCCTACCTGAACACATGCATGGACACAAACAAATAACTAGACTAAATCCACTGATCCCATGAAAGTAGACATTAAGCATCAGGGAACTCATGTGGGTGAAATTTAATTGTGTCTGCATATGTTGACATTGCTGCAGTTAATATTTTGGGCCTGATCCAACTATTCTTACTTAGGCAAATTCTCATTGACTTCAGTCCAAGAAAGAATTACAGCAATCTCTGTGCCTTGGGATCTGTGCATGGAAAGGGAAGAGAGAAACAAAGACAGCACTAAACTTGGGGTTTTTTTAAAATATGCTTGGTTCCTAAAATTCCATTTTCTTTTAAATTTGAACTTAGAAAAGAGGGAGGCAGTATATTTACCAGCCCACAGTTTTCCATTGCTTTAATAATTTGCACTACATTTACACAAAGATATTTGGCTAGGGATAAACTGATCAAAATCTTTGATTACCTATTGTTTTACTGTTAAACTCCAGAGGCAAGAGGAGCAAATGTTCAAACACATCTCTAATGATATTTTTTACTGCATTTGGGTACATGACTGATCATATGCCATTTAGTAAATAGCAGCTGATGACCATATCAGATAGCACCATATGATTCACCATCACTTAGCAGGAACAGCATGTTGCATCATTTGGCATGTGAGGTCAGGTAGCTCCAAACTCACTGGAGTTTGGTGCTGTCGGTGTTGTATAGAGCAAAGGGAGGAGAAGGCTCCATAGACCCAAGAAGAGTTTAAGCTTTATCCTCATTCAATCCCTTGTTAGATCTCCCCAAGACACTGGATGTAAAGGCAGTTTTGTGTAAGGTCTTCCTGGTAAGGTGTGGAGTTTCAGCCAGCTCTTCTGTCCTATGTGACAAATCTCATGGTTGTGCATTATCAGACTGGCAGGAACAGGAATGTCTCACCAAACCCACATGTTGCCTTGGGGTAGACTTGCTCTCCATTGCATGGATCCCAAATATTTCTGCTTTTCATGCATGGGGTTAGTTAAAACCTGTATTTTTGCACCCTATATTTTTGTCACTTAGCTGCATGTCAGGGAGATTTTGGTCTCACTAGCAGCTTTTCCAAGGGTTAAGGTTTTGGGATAACATACTCCAATACCAAGACAAAAAGATGATCTGTACTGAGCATGTGCTTGAATTTTGCCTTGTAAGAGGTTACATAAAAACCTCTCTGTTTCTGGCCCTTCCTATGTAAAAGTTAAATTTTATTTCACATTATGTTCCGTAGCAGTAGCGGTACATAAATCAAACTATCCTAACATAGACATTTTAACAGATCGAAAAGTAGGCTAAATCACAGACCTTCCACCTAACCCTGCAGGCTATCAAAAGACACCATGAAATGGAGCCTTTTAAGAAAATAGCACTGCTTTGATATCTTCTTCCCCCAGTAACAAAGGAAACAACACAAGGTAGAAGCCCTGCAAGCTAAAGAGAATGTTCTTCAACCCCTAGCTCCTGTCACTTTCCATTTTTTTAACCACAGACTGACACATTTCAGCTTGAATTTCCTGACTTTCAGCGGTTTATGTAGCCATTTTCTTCAAAGAGTAAGTTTAAAGGATTTTAAAACAGTTACTTGGTTTACCTTTTTTCAAGTGTTGGAGCTGTCATGAAGCTTAATTTTCTCAGTTAAAAAAGTGAAATGTTGTTTTATTTGCAGCTGGTTGTGAGACAAAATGGCCAGGAAGGCAGCATGGTCTCCTGCAACAGCAGGCTTTCTCTATTTTTCCTCCATGGCTTTTTGGGGGAGGAAGGTCCTGAAATCTCATATTTTTCTTTGTTTAGTGAAAGGAGAGGGGGAAGCACGCCGTGTTTGAGATTTGCACAGCAGGGGAAGGTAGCCCCACAGGTTTCTCTCACTGGTGCTGCCCCTTCTGTCCCCATGAGTGATGTGCACAGGAAGGAGATATGCTTGCCACAGCTGAGGGAGCCAGAGAAGGTTCAAAGTTACAGGCCAGTCATTGCAGGTTTTCCTCCCAGGTCAGCAGAATTCGGGTTGCAAACAGATTGGAAGTTACAGCTGCCCTGGGCTGGTGATGATCTCTCAGGAAGAAAAGTGACAACTTAACTATTACTCACATAGCAGCAATGTATTCTGATCTGTGGGGGTGAAAAAAAGAAAAGATTACTGGAGAGGAGAAGAACATGAGTTGCAGATGCTTAGCCCACTTCCATATCTTGTCCATTCATCTTACTTGGAAAGCTCATACGTCTTCAGCAGGAGTTTTACCTGAGCAAGACCTTCAGGGTTAAATGCCATCAAATAGCTCTTTCTAGCTCTGGTATCATGCTTATAAAAGAAGCTGAAAAGCTGGACCATCTTATTCTTTCACATTCAGCAAGCTGTATTTCTAAGTAGCTCAGAAAGCCCCAGAGTTTAGGAGAAGTCTGTCCTGTGCCCCAGAGGAAAGCCAGCAGCAGGGGTAGAAATAGTCTTTTTGTCTTTGTCAAATGAGATAAAAAAGTAATTTATGGTCACTTTAGTTTTTAATTAGTCTTTACTGTCCTGCCAGTTCTGCATCCTTACAGAATAGAAAGCCATGTTATTCATATGCTGTCTATTGTATTCTGCTAGGAGATGGTTTTGTTTAGTGCATTGTTTTACTGTTTCAGGAGTGCTGCATTTTTGTTGCAAGTCTTTTCAGTGGCACATTCTGCAGACAATCTGTACCATGTAATCTAAGGGAAAGCTGGCAAGAAATACAGCTTTTTGCAGCAGGGAAGCATGATAAGAGACTTAGTAGTCTGAGCATTTAAAATATTTTAAATACACTAGCTTTTTAAAAATTATTTTTAAATACCAGTAATGCTTGGCTAAATTAGTGGTGGTGTTTGTAACACCACTAGCTTTGCTGGGGTTGCTGAAGCTGCCTGCCAGCAGAGCAGAGATGTAAAATCTGTCTTCTAACACAGTTCTTTGCCCAAGGATTTCTACTAGACTTTCATCAGGCTGGGAGCTCGGCACTGCAGGACTGCAGCAGTGTTTGGTTTTGGCATTGGCTTCTAACACAAAAGGTGTTGTAACACAGGAACTTTCTTAAGCTATAGAGACAGCACATGAAAAGGCAGTCTGGGCTACAGGAGCAGAAGGACTAGTTCTGTTAGAAAAGCACCTTTCCATATTGTTTTCTTCCCTTACTCTGGTCTGTTTTCTCTAGATGGTCCAAGTTTTTATTTAAAGTGCTTTAACTGGATATCCCAGTTACAGCTTTGACAGTTTGTTTACAGTTCACATTTGCCTGAGGGCAGCTGAAGGCATATTACAGGATAAATAATGTAGTTTTGCTGCCAGGAGAAGGATGTACTGGTAGGATTATTGAGGTTAAAAAAAAAAAAAAGAGAAAGAGAGAAAAAGAAAAGGGACAGGGAGAATGACATAGCTGGAATTGTACCATGGATCTGTAATTTAATCCTATGGGAACTCGTAGTACTATACTTTCTTCTCCCCCTCCACTTCGTGAGTTAACTTAAAGAGAGAGACTGCTGTCTCTTGGAAGAGAAAAATACAGTGGAAGTACTGGCTGAAAAGGTTTAAACTCTTTTAATTGACAGCAAAATGAAGATTGGTCTCCTACCCTGTGAGGCAATGAAAAAATTGTGTATGTGGAAAGAATTTACTCTGGAAATCACTTTCACTTCTCACTGGCTAGGAATTTAGGTGCCAAAACGAACACCTCACTCTTAAATGACTGAATTTAGGCTGGATGAATCCACTGGATTAATTTTGGTGAGGTATGGGTCAGGCCTTCTGGCTTCTGGTTACAAAGATCTTGTTTCCATCCATTGGTTTGCAGAGTTAGACCTGTAAATGTGGTCAGGAGGATGCAATGAGCATTCTGCAACAGGAGTGTTCTGGCTGGGGTTTCTGTGCTGTTTTCCTGCATGCCTGTAGCCTTCTGCCTTGGGTCTCTTTCCTTCTGATAGATTTGCTGGGCACTGCTGTCTGTGGGGCACTGCCACTGTGCTGTAACAGAGCCCTGTCAGTACTTGCTGCCACGCTGGTGGGGAATGAGGCATTTTGGGATCCCTTTTTGCCCTTTTTACCATTTTTACAAGGAGATCCCAGAGCTGTGTGTGACCAGGCCCTGCAAGGCACTCTGCCTGGGTTGTAGGACCCCGCACTCCCTGCCAGGGAGGGAAGGAAAACTGCTCCCATCAGGATGACTTTCACACGTGCCTCTGGCACTGCGCTGCAGGGCTGGCAAGGCACAGGCATTGTGCTTTGTTTTGTGTTGGCTGATGAGAGTCAGGGCTTCAGACAGAAAATGTTTATTAAAAATACCCGCTTAAATGTTATCTGAGCTCCCCAAGGGTAGAATGGAAAGCTGTGTTAGTAAATATGCTGCATCAGAAAACACACTCCTTTGGGTCCAATGCTGCTTTCTGCACTGGAGCAGAGCTCTCACCATCATCAATAAGATGCAAAGTCAGCCTCTTTTTAAAAGTTTGTCACAATGGGGGGGGGGAAGTGTAAATAGTGTAATTTTCTGGGGAAAAGAATACATGGATGAAAACTTTTCTGTCCCTACAGCAAAGCTGAAGCTGTTTCAAGCAGGCTGGAGTGAGGGGTGGAGCTGGCCCTCCTGTGCCGGCTGTGTCTGCTGCCCAGTGCTCCCCGGGGCAGCCAAGCCCAGTGGGAGGGCAGAGGGTTACTGCCTGCCTGAGCAGCTTCTGCCACACTGACAGCAGGGTAAAGATGAAGACCGGGCTTTCCATGGAATGAGTGACATGCAGCAGCCTGCTGAGATGTTGGTGATATCAGGATACTGATTTTTTTTTTTTTTCTACTAAGCACATGGCTGTTAATACAAAGAGCTCAGTGTAGATACTAACAATTAAGCCTAATTTATGAAATAGGGACACTCCTTACCTGAAGTTACTTATAGTTTCCAGAAATTGACATACTGTGACAAATGGACTTTTCCTTACATATTTTCAGTTATTTAAGGGACTGCTGATCTCTTATTTCTAGACTGGTGAATTGAAGCTTTGGGGGATCACAGGGAAATAGTGATTAGACACATATTTCTGTCCTTGGAAATTATGGATATATGGCAGCTATCACCTGCTTTTGAGGTATACAGAACAAATCCAACTTCTAAGTAAAACCAATGGCTTTATACCAGGCATTAATTTGGTTTCTCATGCAAATGCCTCTAAAACAGCAGGGGAAAATATGCACAGGTGCCTGAGTCCCACTGAGGATCAATAGGGAGTTGTAGGTTCCCAGCTTGTGTAGATGCCTTTGAAAAAGTGATGCTGGAAGCTGTTTAACCAAAACATAAAAGGAGCTGTGGTGTGTTGCATGGGGGTCTGTGGCACACAGAAAGTGTGTCACACCTGCTTTCTGGCATGTGCCTTGCCTGAGCCACAGCACAAGGTACACAGCTCTAGAGAAGAGGTGTATGGCATGTCTGTTCACTTCACAAATGCAGCCTTCCCACAAAAACTGCAGAAACTTAAGGATATGAGGCCTGACCTGGTTCTCCTTCAGAAAGGGAACTCCTACTCAAGTTCAGCAGTTTTGCTTGCAAAATGGCATCCAGGAGAAGAGGCAGCATTTGGAGCTTCCCTACAAAGAGAAGAGAAAGCCATGTCTAGGGAAGCCCAGCAGAAGTTTGCAGAGGACTAACACACTTGCTTAGTGTTTCACTGGGTTTGTCCCTTTTACACTGCAAGCCCTCCAAGGCAGGAACCTCGGTCCCTGTGTTTGCACTGGTGCCCTGATTAAGGCATGTTACATGAAATTATCTGTATTTCATAGTTGCCCAGCCTTTTATTATCCATATGTCTCAGATAACACTGTTTACAGTCAGAAGAGCATTCTGTAAACATTTAGACCAGAGAATAATTTAAGGATCCTCTTGCAAAGTTAGCAACTAAATGTTGGCAGAAAGAGCCATGGGCACGCCAGGACAATTCTGCTCTTAGCAGATGGTTTGCAGTCCACTAATTATGATTCATCCACTGTCCTAGAGGTTGGCAAGGCTTTGGACATCTCTTTGAGCAATGTAGTTATTGTGCTGCAAATATGATCCTTTTCAAATGCAATGGAGAACTGAGAAAGGTTTCTCCTGACTTGTCTTTACTGGTGGATCCTGAGCATACACCTTCTCAGTATTCTGCAGTGCTGGGATCCTCTTGTGGAAAGATAAGCACAATTGTGTGCATTTTTGGAATGTAGACTATTTGTACAGCTAACTGTGTGATAATAGAGGTTTTATTCAGGTCTTACAGAAAGTTTCAGTGTGGAAAGGCAGACACACTGGCTAAGTGAGAGAGTTCAATAGAAAAAAATAAAAGTGTGTATCCTGGTAAATTCCAGGAGCTTTGAAATTTCATTGCTGTTTATAGCTCAAGGCAATGAGAAATGTCTCACATGTGTAGTGAGTAAATAAATAACAGCACACACAGCCCTCTGCAGATAGGTTTATCTCATTCTAGCATTATACTAAATGGTGTCTGCAACCTCCATAAATACCACAAGAAGTGAAATGGCTTGCACGATAATTAAAAAGCTGTTTCTGCTGAGAGTCGGGCCCCGCTCCCTACTCCTTTGGCAGGGGAGCTGAGCCGTAGGGCGGGCGCTGATCGCTGCCCACAGGTGAGAGCAGCTTGGAGCGCGGGAATCCTCGGCAGCGCTGCGCAGGCTGTGGAGCTTGTCAGCTCCCCTCAGGGAGCTCTGGGACAGAGCAGCTGCATCTTTAGATTGGAGGTTCAGCAGGAATTCGTGCATGGTCATAACACTGAATATTTTAACTGTGTGCTGTAGCCTGTCTGTGCTCTGTTGACCATAAAGTTGGCCTGCCAAGTACGTTTTCGTTTAGATATTCCTAAAGGATTAAAGGCAAGGCTGTAGCTATGGCATTATAGAAAAGACACTGGCTGAGAGAGAAGCAGGAAAGTTTGGATCTCATGTGTTGTCCCCTCTGCAGATCATCTGGTCTCTCTGCCCCTGTGGTCACTAACTGAGAAGTCAGGGTGACATTTTTTTGCCTGTTGTGTTGAGATTTCAATTTCTCAGGGGACAGGACAACATCCCACTGCCTGTTCATGGAACAGTTAATTGTGAGCGTGCCCAGCTTTGGCTGGGACTATGGATAAATCACACAGCATTCAAACTAAATCTCTCTCTCTCTCTCTCTTCTGATTTAGCATCTGAACAACACCTGGGAGCCGGCGTCCTGCGGGAAGATCGAGGATCAGATGGCTCTGCCAGATCAGGCGCGCAAATACATGGCCACCTTCCCCACCCGGACTCTGGTGATGTGAAAGGGTCGGCGCACAGAGAAGCATTATGGTTCTGAGAACACTTCACCTCCACTGGGAAATTCCTGTTCCTCTGCATGAGAACTTTTCATGAATGGGAGAAGAGCCTATCTTTGTTGTGGTACAACAGTTGGGAGCAGCACAAAGTGCATTTAGTCACTCAGCATATATATTCTTGTTGGATTTCACCCAACTTAAGAGTTTGTGTTTTTTTAATGATACTTGCCTAAATTATTAGGTATTGAGTTTGAATCGGTAATTAATGATCTTAAGTGCAGTCTTATAATAAAGATAATTTTTCTTGTACTTTTTGAGATCAAACAGACTTAATACACCAGTATTGTTATTTCAGTGATGTGCTAGTCAGGGGTGGGGTTTAGTTTGTTTCTTTTTTTATTTTTTATTTTGTTTTGTAATAATAAAAGAGCAGGTACTCACACAGATATATTTTAAATCACTGAACAAAATGAATTGGTGTAAAATACCGAAGTGAAAAGCATTACTACAAACGCTTGTCTGTGCAAAAGGGGAAAGCTGATCAAGATTGTGAATGCTCAAACATCCATTCCTCTTGAAATACTCCTTTCTGTTTTGGTTCTAGGCCATTATACATTGTGTGTTTCTGTTGGGGGGGGGGTGGGTAATTAGCTTGCTTTAAAAAATATTACTGTATGAAACATAGATTTATGAGAAAAATTATATTTTTATTCAGTAATTTAATTTTGTAAATGCCAAATGAATACTGTGTTTTGCTGCTACAGACCTTAGCGTGTAGACATGCTGCTAGTGTAAAAGGAGCAGTAGAGCTTTATATGGAAAAAAACAAATGTTGATGTTAGCTAATTGACTATGCACTAGCATTTCAGACCTTTTTGTTTTAATTTTTTTTTTTACATCATTTATATTTTTTTCCCCTTTTTTTATAAGCAATATTTTTGAACACTGTTCTTGGGAGATTTTTATTTGTGTGGATGTGTTGTTTTGTTTCTCATTGGTTTGTAACAGCATGCATTGCACCTTCATATGTTTGGGAGAACACTGTCTTGTTCATGTTGTCTCTTTTGTTCCATGTCTAGCTGGTTGTTCCCTAACTTGGGTCTTGTGTACTGAATCAGGTTCTTAGAAGTACATGGTTCTTTGTACTGCCATATCAGATCTTTATTGATATGGCAAAACACTGATTTTATTTTATTTTTTTATTTTTTTTGTGTTTTTATAACAGCCTCTGACTTTGCTGCCTTAATAGCATTTGGTGCAGCTTTATCTGCACTTAATTTTTTATACAACAATGTACTGCCTTGTAGATAAATAAAGTGTGTTCTTTTTTTACTTAAACCTGCGTGGCCTCCTAATCTTGTTTGTCTTCAGTTTTTTGGCGGTGGTGTTAATGGCAACAATCAAGGCAAGAAGGTTTTTCCCAGCACACTTAGATAAGCAAGGAATAGAGTTTTGTACACTATAGCCTCAAAATCCTCGGTTCTCATTGATTGTTAAGGAAGTGGAAGGAACACAGCACAAAACATTGAGTACTGAGCATGTTGTGGTCTCAGAGCACATCTCTATTGACACCAAAGTCCAGGTCAGCTTCAGTCAGTGGGAGACTCACTGCACCTTTTGTGCAAAACTGCCCTTATCCCACAATGCTGGCTAATTTATTTTTTCATCTAGGGACAATCAGGTCAGAAACCAATTGAATAAGAGAAAAATATTCTGGAGTTCTTGTAACTGTAGAACAGGCTTTTTTCCATGCTTGTCTTAAGAAAACAGAGGTGAGAATATACTTTGAAACCCTGGTGCATTGTGCTTCACAGCAAATAATTGGACAGACCTGCAAGAGCCTCACACAGCTGACATCCTGAGGGTCTTTCAGCCCTAGGAAGGCTAGAGATAAAAGCAATTCCTGACAAAACAAACAAACAAATAAAAGGCATCCTGTCAGAAAAAAAAAACCAATTTATTGAGTAGCTTGAAAATAAATTGCAGAAATGTAAGTTGATGCAAGTGCTTCAAAGACATACTGATATTCATGAGAGCAGACTTCAGCTCCACAGTGAAGGAGTAGCCATGTGTGTGCTGACCCCCAAAGGTGCCTTCCAGCCCTTTTTAGCTCCTTACCCAGCACCAGCCCACTCCTCCCAGCTGAAGCCACACACTGGCCCTCAAACCATGCAGTGCACAGAAAAGGAGAGGAGCAAAAGGGCCTTTCCCACCCTCTGCACAGGTCCCTGCTCGTGTGCTTTTGGCGTGAGAAGGGAGCGGTGCTTGCAGCAGCCCCCTCCCCATTGCTTGGTGTGCTCACATCCATCCCTCCTGTGCGGTTTGGGGGCAGGAGAGCCGGCCCGAGGCCGTTTCTGAGCAGTTCCCCCCGGCAGGACCCCGGGGCCGGGCAGGGATCCCGGGGAAGGGGAAGTCTGCGGGAGCCCCTGCCGGTGCCAGGGCTGCCGCCTCAAACCGCTTGTGCAAGGCGCCAGAGGCCTGAGGGACCCGGCCTGCGACCCGGGAACAGGGACAGGCCTGCCTTGAGGCATGCCACGCTGCTTAGGCAATGTGTTACAGCTTCTAAAGAGAAAAAAGGGGAAAAGAAAGGCCAGGCTTACAACAGGACTTCAAGGCAAAACTCCAGCCTTTCATGGCTCCAGTGGTAACTGCACAGATCCTGCGTGAGTTTAAACAGTTCATTATCCCATGGAAGCTCAGCCTGCAGGTGCCCAAAAAGGAGTGAGCTTTTTTTCTCCTACACCCTCACTTGCTTTAAAATCCATTTTAAACATGTATGACTATTACAATAATAATCTTCTTCATGGGCACACTTAGAGCTAATATGGAGGAAAATGTTTCTTTTCCCTGTTTCTCATTTCACTGAAAATGCAGAACACCGAGTAGGTTCAGGCCAGTTTGTTTCTGCATGCATGTGCTGCCCAGCATGGGTGAAGGAAGAGGCTTTCTTTGGTTGCTAGACTCAGGAAGCTGATGATTTTCCCTCCATCAATAGTGGCTGCATTTCCCTTGCAGCCAAGTGCCACCTCCTACACACCTTTCTCACGTAAATGTCCCTCTGTGACCCTGCTCTCCTCACTGTCTGAAGCACACATCTTCCAGAGGCCCAAGAGGAGTTCCACCTCTCTGGCAAATTCCATCTTGAGATGGAATTTTGAGATGGAGGCAAGAGCTGTCCTGAGGCAAGTCTGTGTAAATGGTCTTGGTGACAGCTGCCTGTCCTAGCAGTGGCCCTTTGCCCAGGTGTGTGGCCGTCCTGGACACACTCAAACCTAGAGTAACCTACCTAAGTGAAAGGAAAGCAGGTTCAGTCAAGTTCTCATTTAATTGGAGAGTAGATATTTGGCTCAAATTCCTATTAATCTTTTCATCCTCTGTAATTATAACTTAATAATGTTGTCAGTGGGAATTCTTTTCATTTCTGAAAAGAATTTAAATTATCATTTCAGCATGTGCCACTAATTGAAAATAAAGAGGCAAAGGAGCCAGGGCAAAAACAATAGTATCTGAGTGTGAGGTGTTTCCCAGCTAATTCCCTGTCATTCTTCAGCCTTCTATGCAGGGAATCCTGGGGCTTCAACTCCCACAGGTCTGATCCATGTGACAGCTGTAAGCCTAAACTGAAAAAGGGCCAGAGCTTGAATTGGTTTAGGAAAAAAATATTAGAGCTTGAATGAAAGAGCCAGACTTTGTAGTCAGGAGCCAAAGTAAATCTGCTGAAAGTAAAGCAGAAAGCAAGCAAGGAATTGAATATTCCATAGCATAGAGTGATCCTTCAAAAAAGTTAGGTTTTTTTCTCTGTATTTGTAATGTTAATCCTTATCCATGCCAGCTAAGTCAATGACAATCAGCCCTCCCTAAGTCCTCACAGGCAGGCACACAGGCAAAGGATGTTTCTGTAACATTGTGATGGGACCATCATAATCATAACCTTCTCTTACTCCTGCCAAACTTAATTGTATTTCCACCTCATCCCTGATCTGAGATAGGTGCGATGGAAAAGCACAAAACAAAAGGCTTGTTTCTAGAAATCTATTAAAAATGTGTCGAGGTTTTGTTTATTGTTTTGTTTTGGTAATTTTTTGAGTTTTTTGGTGAGATTTTTTTGGTAGTTGATTTTTTTTTTGTGTTTAATGAGCATGTTAAAAATATTTCAGTTTGAGAAAGAATGGTTTTGAGGCGCTGGTCTCCATTTTGCCTATGTCCTTGTTTCCTAGCATGGGTGGAGCCCGTCATGAGAGCAGACATTGCTCAGGAGCAATGGTGGAGTTCTGCCTGGGTGGCCAAGGAAAGACACTGGTCACATCCTTCAATCTCCAGTCTGATGTCTTAATTCAAAAGGAAGTCGTGCTTCCTGACCAATTGCACTTGTTCCCTTTGTTTGGCTCTTTTCTTTGAACTTGACTTTGATGTCTCAGCGGTTTTCACTGAAGACCCTACTACCAGCACAAACTTGTTTGTGACTTTTTTGCTCTCAGTGACTGCTGGAGGTAAGATAATGAAGATATATCAGAGAGGTTCAGATTCTGCCTTCAGCTGTGTTTGCAAGCTGGCAGTGGTTAAACAGCTCATTGTCAAGGGCTGCAAAATGTATCCAGTCTGCTATTATTTTTCCATAAATTATTGGTGATCGGGTTGTTGAGTTTGTTTTTGTTTTTTATAATCCCTCTTGATACATGACATTTCTAGAAGGCATTTTTCCAATCCATTTGAGTATCAGAATCATTGCTGAATTTTTAATTGCTTTGTAAAACCGCCTCCACTTCTCAGGCTGCGCAAATCCACACTTACAGCCTAGCTCGACTCACAGCCAAGGAAATTTCATTTCATGAGAAAACAACTTTTACCCCTTGATTCAATCCCTGCCCATCACCACAGCTCCAAGACACGCTCTGTGCACACATCTGTCAGAGCAGCGAAGACAGCGAAGAAGAAAGTTTCAGGAAGCTCTCCCCAGTCAGGTTTCTACACTAACCATAGCGACCACCTCTGCATCTCCCGGTTCCTGCCAGCCCAGCTGCAAGCCTGCCGTGGCCCTCCCTGCACAGAGAGCCCCCAGAGAGCCTTGAAAGGGTGCCTGCAGGTGTGCTTTCCTGCCCGCTGCCTCCCTCGTGTTTCAGTAACTCTCTCATCGTGTGCATCAGCACAGGACTTATCTGAAGGTGCAGGGAGGCTATCACTTTTTCAGTGGTGGGTTTTTGATATCTGTGTTCCTACCAGCTCAAGGCAGAGACCTCTGAGGTGCTGGCTCAGCCTTCCTGTTCAGATAAAGGTGCTGCTAGCCTGTGCTGCTGGCTGGGAAAGGGAAATCTGCAAGAGGTTAGAGCTCCTACCTGCTCAGCTAAGCCTTCTTGCACCAAAGAAATGTGGTTTGCTGTAGTCGTAGGCCTAAAATACCTTTCAGTTAAATAATAAATAAAAGAGATTATACTTGGCTTTTCTTTTCTGCTCTGCTCATACTGGCCATCCCCTGTGCACTGCTGCCCACTTCATCTCTGTTTCATCAAGGCACATGCCCCTGATAGGGTTCAGGCCCAAACACTGCTCCAAAAGGATTGATAAAAGTCTCTGATCTCCATAACAGCAGGGAACACAAGCC